CCGCCAGGTACCGGCCTCGCTCAGCGGCCAGATGTTGCAACCGGCACCCCCCGCTTCGGACTGTCGGCGGACTCATCCGTCTCCAGCCCAGACTGGACCTGGCCTCCAGCAGCCGGGTCGGGGGGCGGAGGACGAGGACGAGGACGAAGTAGAGAGAAAGGAGGAGGAGAACCGTCCCTTCAGGGATGCGCTGCTGAGACTGAGCCAGACCAGCGATGGGGATGCTGCCGCCCGGGGACCGCGGCTTTTTCCCGGGGCTCTGGGCTACGCTCCTTCGCAGATTGCGCGGCGAGAAATCCTGGGCCAGAAAACTTGACGAAACCAACCTGTTGCAGCAGAAGAGGTAGGTCCAAGCTAGGACATTTCGGATCCCGAAGGTAGCCGGGGAGGGAGACGGGCCGCGAGTTACTGAGTTTAATGCGAAAGAGAGTTCCTCTGAGCGCATGCAGAGAAAGCGTTCGCGAAGCGCGTCGTACTGGCTGCGGTTGGAGTCGAGGTCCAGCAAGAGTGCGCGCGCGCGCGCATAGTTTTTACTAGCTTCCTCCTCCTCAGTTCAGGAGAACGGACGGGCCCTTAGGAGAAGAAAAGTTTAAAACCCTTTTTTCATTGGTAGCAGGATAAATACCTGGGCACAGGAGAAGCTGTAACCAGATCCCAGCAAGTCCATCGAGTGCACCTGCTGCCTGAAAGGCAAACAAGTCTGTAGTCTGTGCCACCTGCAGCCAACCACACACTTGGACCCCTTTTCTGTAGTCTGGGGTGGGACAGGGAGAGAAAAGGGCATTCAGAGGCTAAGACCCTGGGGCCTGGTGGCTTTTTTTACTTCCCTGATCTTTAAATGCAAGCTAGAAATCCCAACTGGTTAGAAAAAAAAATGTCTTTCCTTCTAGATTTTGTGTGCTGTAGGAGGTCTCAGCTTGTCATGAAAGAACATGTTGGTGACCTAGTTTGATCGCAGCTTTGCAAGGGTTTAATCCTCAGGACTGACACACGTGAATTAACTATGACAATGTCTCTAAGCCTGTGTGGAGTACATTTTTCATGCTTCTAAGCTCCAGGAAGAGCAGCATTTATACATCTGACATTTGGGCATGGCTTAAGCAGGGCTGAAGACAGGCCCTTTGGAGAAATTGAGTAGTGCTGATTCTCTAATAACAGGACCATCTTTTCTGGTTATTTTGGTGGCCCCTGTGGGAGGAGCAGGTGGCAACCGTGGCTGGGAGGGCTTTTGCCACCTTCGTCTTGTACGTCAATTGTGCCCTTTCCTGGCCTGGGAGGTACTGCTTGTGTGCACTCATGCCTTAGTCAGCTCCCAAGTGGATTACTTCAATGTGCTCTACATGGGGCTGCTCTTGAAGAACATCCAGAAGGTCCAGAACATGGTGGCGGGGGAACGTTCAGGTGCATCTTGGGACACCTGTCTTATTCCACTGCTCCACAAGCTGGTCTGGCTCCCAGTGTGGTTCTGGGTGGAATTCAAGGTGCTGGTTGTCACCTATAAAGTCCTTCATAGCATGGGGCTGGGTTATTTGTGGGACAGCCTCTGCCCAACAGTTTCTACCCATCCCTCCAGGTCTAGCAGGACAAGCATGCTTCAGGTCTGGTTGATTAAAGAATATCATCTAGCAGGACCCCCAAAGCAGGCTTTTTCTATTACAGCATTTGCCCTTTGGAACACCGTTCCCCCC